TGTCAGTCATGACCTTGACATAATTCGGCTACACCAGACCGTTGCGCAACAGGCTTTTCTGGGAGTTGCTCGTCTTCGAAGGAAGGCGCCACTTGCGACTCTGGAGGCCAGTCCGTGGGTCAGGCCCCCCCTTCGTGCTAACTGACATGTTGGTTGTCCTACCTCTCTCTCTCTCTCTCTCTCTCTCTCTCTCTCTCTCTCTCTCTCTCTCTCTCTCTCTCTCTCTCTCTCTCTCTCTCTCTCTCTCTCTCTCTCCCTTCAAAAATCTGTTGACCACTCATTTCTGGTAGCATTTGATCCAAGCATCCCCGCAGCCTGCACAAACTCCCCGCACCTCAGCAGCTCACCAGCATGGCCACGCAAGCAGAAGTGGAAGAGCGCCTCACGCGGGTTGAGGACTCTCTGGGGGAGTGGCAGGCCACCTGCCGGGTGCGGGTGGAAAGGGTCCCCGGGTTGGAAACCAAGATCCAAGCCCTTTGCCAGGGAACCCGGGAGTTTTGGAGGCTCAAGCAAGATCTGGCAGGGGTACTGTGGGCGGACGTGGAGAAGGTGATCTCTACCCTTCAAGACAGACCTCGCGCAGACTTGGTGAAGGCAGAGTTCTTCCAGGTGTTTGGAGACGCGTCTGCCGGTGACCTCCAGGGGGTGTTTGGGGTTGGTGGCAGGGTGGAAGACGCCAAAATTTTCGACATTAAGTTCAAACCCTCCTTGTCGGCATTGCGAGCGCACTCACTGGTCAGGACGCACCTGGGTCCCATCTTGAAAGGTGACCCAGAGGGACCTAGGTGTTGGGTACCTTTGAGCCAGGTTGAGATGAAGCGGAAGCGCAAGCGGGGTGCGGAGAAGGATGCGAACACGGCCCACCCAAAGTCCATGCCATCCCGGCCCACAGGCCGTGACCGCGGGCGACCGGCTGAGCACTCACGTCGAAGCCGTAGGGCGGGTCACCGCTGAATCTGATGCTCATCTTGCTTTCCTTGGGCCCATTTTCCCCTGCGCCTTGCAGTTGCCAGTAAGCGCTTCTGCTAATCCGCGTAGCCCAAAGATGACAGCGTCGTGATTTTCCTCTGTTTGCTTGACAAATCATGTGCGCGCTGGGTCTGACTGGCAACTGGTTGGGATCTGACAAGGCTCTGTTCGGAGGGAGATTCAGGGAGTTTGCTCGCTTGCAGGCTCCATCTATCTCCCGCGGAGTTTCTCCTGCTTCAGACCTTCAAGAAGCTTCCTGGAGATAGTTTTTTTTTTTTCGTTCCCCTCACCACATTGGGTTTGCCCGCTCCTTTGCCAGCCCAAACTCCTCAAGCCGCTGTCTTCGCCAATTTGGCTTTGTGCTCCACACCCCTTCGCTTTCTCGCTCTCGCTTTTCTCTTCCCTCTTTCTCTTCTTCCTCTTTTCTCCTTCTCACCTCTTGCCCTTGATTGGTCTGTTTCCTTCGTCCTTTCTCCTCCCTTGTTCCTTTCAGTTTGACTCGCAGAGCTTCTTGTTTTTTTCATTTTGCGTGGCCAGACCGGGGGTCTTTTCAGGCCGTATCCCAGGAACGACGACGACGACTAAGCCGTGGAGCTTATCCGATTTGCGGGTCCGGACGTGAGACGTGCTACTTTTGAGGTTATTAAGAATATGTGGTTAGAGGCGGCTAGTGCTTCTCCGGGTCTGGAGGCCTCCGGTTGGTGCTTGTCATCCAAGCAAGGGACTTGTATCCCCATGTTCAAAAACAAGGGGAACCGGCTGGATAAAAATAATTACCGTAACTTGGTCATGCTTTCTGTCTCTGCCAAACTTGTAGCGCGAATGGCGGCTTCAAGGTTATCTGTCTGGGCAGAAAAGTGGCTTCCAGATCAACAAAATGGGTTTCGCCCGGGACGGGGTATAGACGATGTGCAGATGCTGGTGCGGAGGTTGCTTGAAGAAATCAACGTGTCTGCTCAAGACGCTTGTTTTGGTATGACTTGTTTTGACATTGTCCGTGCATATACGAGAGTTTGCCGCGACTCGCTTTGGAAGCTTCTTTTACGCCTGGGAGTCCCACACACTTTTATTCAAGTGTTAAAGGCTCTGCGCGAGCATACTTCCTTTAGGGTGTTTATCCACAACGGGTTCTCGTCGGAGTGGCTCACGGACAGAGGACTCCGAGAAGGCTGCCCGTCCTCGCCAATTCTTTTTTCTATCTTTCACCATGCCGTTTTGCTTACTTTCCGGGCCCGTCGGGAAGAAAAGGCGCAAGAGCTGCGTCTCAAGCCAGGCATACAGTGGAATTTTAAAGTGGATGGTCACTTGGTGAGCTCTGGCAGGTCTAAATGCTCGTCGAGGGGCGTGCGCGAAATTGTCATTGGTGATGTTGAGTTTGCGGATGACACGGCTGTTTTCGGAGACATGGAGGAGTTACACTTTGCAGAGCGACTCTTTGTGGAAACTCTAGAAGCATGGGGACATGCAGAACATAAGGGCTGAAACCTGGTGGCCGAGGGAAGACTGAGGTTTTATGTGCGTTCGAAAAGCGCGTTTTGAAACACCTAGGGGCTTTACACGCCGACAATGCTGGGCAATGGGAAGAAACCAAGAGAAGGGTGCAATCAGGCTTCTTCGCTGTTAAACGCATCGCCAAGTATTGGTCCTTAGGTACGCACAGGGGTCGAGGTAGGGGGTCTGGGCTCTCCACTTTCCGCAAGCTCAAAGTTATGCGGGCGGTCGTGGAAGGTACGCTATTAGCTTGTGGGAAGACTCGGGTTTGGAGTTCTGTGCAAGAACGCAAAGCAAATCAGGTCCTTGCTCGTGGGATTCGTCGTTGTCTAGGGCTGGATGTTTTTAACATGCGTGAGTTCGGCTACTCGGATGAAAGACTTCGCCATATGGTTCAGTGGAACTCCTTTTCTGAGCTTATGCACCGTCAAGTTCTGAACTGGGTGGGACACGTAGCACGCATGCCAGCTGATCGTTTACCTAAAATAGCTTTGTTTGGATGGCCAGCAGGTTTGGAAACACGCAGCTCAGGCAAGTTTACGTACCCCAGGTGGGCGCAGTGGGTGTTGCAGAAGTATGGCATCTCCGTCATGGACTGGTTTCGGCTGGCGCAGAAACCAACGCGTAATTGGGTCAGGATTGTAGTCGATGCATTACCACGGTCTAAGTTATCGGCCAAGCAAGTTAAGTTGCTAAACGCATGGCAGCATGGAGATAGTCTTCTGCAGTGGGCCAGTCCGGCTCATGCTCCTGGTTTACAAGTCTCGCCGTTCCTTCTGTTCCGTCTGGTTCTTTTCCTTGTCCGGCATGCCAGGATGTCTTGGACACGGCTAAAGGCCTTCAAGTGCACTACGATAGTGTTCATGCCATTCAGGATGCCAGTCTAACCACTGTCGCGTTAGACCACTGCCCCTTTTGTCTTCAGGTTTTTGTTTTTGCGCGTCACATCAAGACACACCGTTGCCCGGCCAAACCTCAGAATTTGGAGGATGTAGCCAAATGGAGCTCGAGTGCACGCGTGCTTCAAATGCCGCAGGGGGAATTTCTCGACACGCGCCAATGGATATTGTATACGGATGGGTCGGGAGGGGAGAGACCACTCGGGTCTACTGCTGGCTGGGGGGTCGCGGTGTGGGCAAATGACGTGTCGGAGCCGCTCCCGGATTTTGAGCTTTTTGGTCCGGTGTGTCTCAAACGATGGGAGGAGAGGTGGGTGGGGCCCGATTCGGCTTCCAACAATGTGGGGGAGCTCACTGCTATGATTGAGGCGCTACTTTGGCTTCAGTTTGAGGCGCCGGGAAGGCCGGACGCTCCAGCCTTGCTTCACTACGACTCGAGTTATGCGTTTGGGGCCATCACAGGTTCAGGGGTGCCTGATGCGAATGCCACTTTAGTTTACAAGGCGAGGGAAATCCTTTCCAAAGTCCGTGTTTCTAGGTTCGTCGATTTCATTTTCGTTAAAGGTCACTCGGGGGATAAGGGAAATGACCAGGCAGATCGCTTGGCTGACCTTGGGGCCAGAGGTAAACAAACTCTTCAGAGCCAAAGGTGGCTGTCTCCGTTAAACGAGGCACCTCCGGTCAAACCTTTGGATATGGACCATTGTTGGAGATGTAATCGGGTGTACTCCGGCCCCTCGCACGCGCGCCAACTAGCGGGTCATGAGGCGTATTGCAAAGTTCCTGGAGCTCCGCCCCCTTACATTTTATGTCGTAATGGGTGTGGCAAACGGTTTGCGTGGCAGTCGGACGATGGTTCAAAGAAACGTGTTCATCATGCCAGAGAGTGGAGAAATCTGCATGAGAAGATTTGTAGGGGATCTGAGCGTCTGACATTGGAGTGTCCCTACTGTCAGTACTCCTTCCCTGTTGGTACAACGGATGAAACAGTTTTACTTCATAGGAACAACTGCTCGAGTTGCCCTGAGGATGCTAAGTCGTTGCGTCGCACTCGTACGTGCGAAAAGTGTGGGGCTAACATTCCAATTGCTAAATGCGAGGCTCATCAGGAATCGTGCAGGGGTTCAGTTCAGGCAAATCGTTCCTGTCAGTTGTGCGGGGTGTCGTTCCAGTCTGTAGACGCTCGTTTAAAGCATGAAAAAGTCTGCAGAGGTTCGGTTGACGCAAACTTGACTTGTTCCAAATGTAAGCGTGTGTTTGACTCATGGGGAAGCCGTATTGCGCACGAAAAAGCTTGTCAGGGGGGGAAGGCTTAGTTCAGGTGGGTTGTGCCTACTCGGTTGGCTCGGTCCCGCTTGCGGGAGACCGGGCCCCACAAGCTCCTTTGCTGCGCCCCTTCCGGCTGTGGTCCTGCTTGCAGGAGACCACAGGGTGCTTGCACCGGCGCAGTTGGGGAGTGGTTCATGGGTGGGCGTCGTTGTGTCCTTTGGAGGGTTCTGGCGTTTGTCGTTTTTTTTCTTCTTTCTCGTTTTTTTTTGTTGTTGTTTGTTTCTCTCTCCTCTTCCGTGCTTTTGCTTCCTGTCTCGTTCTCGTCCTCTTCCTTCGTTTTGCTTACTTCTTGATCCTACCAGTTCCACGGATATGAAGTTGGTTTGCCGCCAGATCACCAGCTTTGGTCACCTGATATTCAAATGGAGATCGGGGAGCTCTTCCAGGACTGCTTTTGGGACAGGACTACTGGGGAGCTTGCTGCTCTGCTGTGGCCTGTGCATGCTCTGTTCACCAAAGGGTTCATGTTTTTCCGCCTTTCCGCAGGTGTTTTCCGAGCTTTCGCGCGACCCGTTTGTTAGCCTCCCGTTCGTAAAGTCCGCTCAGCGTGCAATGGAGGGACGTATGGAAGCGAGACTTGCCCAGCTCGAGGACAAGGTTGCTGAGTGGGACGCCACTTTGCGGGTCAGGGTGAAGGGTTGCCAACCCTTGTTGGAAGAGGCAAGGGAGATCGAGGGGGGCTCCAAGGAATTCTGGCGCCTGAAGGAGAAAGTAGGTGATATCTTGCTTCGAGCTCTTACCGAAGAGCTAACCAAGTGTCCGCAAGCCAGCAATGCGGTACCGGATACATGGCGAACTGAACTCACCCAGGTGTTCCGTGCTGAATTCCTTGTCGGGGTTTTCAGTGTGGGTGGGAAATTCAGCTCCTCAGAGCTGGTGGACATCAGATTCCGGCCAGGGCTCCAAGGGCTGCGTGCCAACTTCCTCGTCAAAGACTGTCTCACTCGGATCCTCAAGGAAATCCCCCAAGCGTCGTTTGGCATGTGGGTTCCCCTCTCCGCCCCCGAAACAAAGCGCAGGCGAAAGCGCGCGGCTAGCAACCCAGCCCCTGCGGAGAAAGACAGGGTGTCTCGGGCCCGTCGGGGTAATGGGGGTGGTGGTGGGGAGGGTGCCAGGCCAGCTCGTCGCTAGTTTCTAGTCTGTCTTCGTTTCCCTCGTTCGCGGCCGATGCGTGGCGTTCCTACTCACTGTTTGGGTTTGCTATGGATTGCCGATGTGGGATGGGCAAGAATCCATCGCTATCGGCCGTAAATGAGGGTTTTTTCTATGGGCTCTAGATTGCGATCCCTGGGATCAGACCACAGCCTGCCAGCTCGGGTTAGCTTTTTTTGAAATCCGCTCAAGATTCTGGTTACCGCGCTTGTGACAAAACTTCGATGCCAATCTCCCTCTTTTCTTCTCCCTCCGGCTTTCTCGTTCCCGTTCTCTCGTTCTCTTCCCCCCTCTCCCCCTCTCTCTCTCTGTCTCTCTCTCTCTCTCTCTCTCTCTCTCTCTCTCTCTCTCTCTCTCTCTCTCTCTCTCTCTCTCTCTCTCTCTCTCTCTCTCTCTCTCTCTCTCTCTCTCTCTCTCTCTCTCTCTCTCTCTCTTTTTTCTCTTGCATGTTGTTTGGGAACTGCAGCGGTCTTGTGTGTTGGTGGAGTGCATGTTTGGTGGGTCAAGTCATCTGCGTCTGCTGGGGGGACGCTGGGGGTCTTTTCTGGCCGTAACCCCAGGACGACGACGACGACTAAGCCTCTCCGAACCACGTCGCAAGCCTCCACGACATGGTGTTCAGGTGCGTGGGAAAGGTGGGTGTCAAGGCGGTTCGGGGTAAACCCTGTTGTTTGTTGATGTGTTAGCGGTGGTGGATTTTGGGGGCCAAGCCATGCTCTCTCAAGAGAGTGCACAGCAGATAGCTGTTCCGGTTTCCTTGCTGTCTGTGCGGCAGCGACACTCTTCGGCTGATGTTTCGCTTTCTAGGGAACGTTGGGGCCCCAGGCCTCCCTCCCATGTTCTTTTTCCGGAGATACTCCCTGTGCCTGACCGCCACGGGGATATGCACGATGCTCATAATTTTCCGGTTGGTCCTCAGATGTCGGGCATGCCCACCCTGCACCAACCTCCCACTCCGGTATTGGGCTTTTTTCAATTAGGGGCCTCATTTCCCTTTCTCTCCTCTTCCTCTCTTCCCCCTCTCTCTTCTTCTTTCTCCCCTCGCTCGCGTTCTCGTTCTCCTCGTGTTCGATCTCAGACATATCCGGCGCCTGAGATAGGGCTTTCCAGTGAAATATCGTCGTGCTCTGCGGTTCCACCCGAAGTCCCTTGCCCAGTTGAGGTGCACAAGTCCCGTTTGTTTTCCTCCTTGGGGTCTTGGATTAGTGCCAAGGGAGGGAGAAAACGCTTTGTAAGGTGGTTGATGGGGGAGTGTGACCAGTACTTGGCAGAAGACTGGAGAGAGCTAGATCCGGATTCAGTTTGGACGCGCCTTAACAGTCTTGGCAATGCCTGCAGTTTGGATTGGGGCTCTCAAACCACGTTGCTGTTGGAAGCTAACCTCGATAGGGCGGATACCGTCCTGGAAGAATTGTACGGAATTATGAGTGAGGCCCAATCATTGCTTTGCTCAGAAGTTTCTTCAGTGGGAGTTACCAGGGGTAAACGTTCTTGCCCTTCTGTTGTCGAAGGGTCGTTCAATGTTGGTAGCACCAGATGCCAGCGCAGGAATATAGCTAAGAAGGCGGCCCGTCTTCTCAAGCGCCGGAAGCGCGCCAAACAAAAGCGTCGTTTGGCTTGTTTTCGTACGTCAGGCCCGGTTCGTCATTGTAAGAAAGGTAAGGTGGTTATTGGTACTTGGAACACGCGGGGTTTGGGAGCCCCGACCGGCAAGGACCCTGAAGGTAAAATACGTGCGTTGTTTTCACTCATGCTGGAGCGCAAATGGAATGCAGCCCTGCTCACCGATGTTCGTTTCAATCGTGAGGGGGTCTCTCAGGTGACGGTTAAGGGTGCTAACTGGTTAATTGTTCACTATGGGAAAGTGGCTGTTGCATTGGATGAATGGTTGGCATGCAGGTGGAGACGGGGAGGCGCGGTGCTCACCCGTGTTAAGGGATGGCCTGATGGGGAACGTTGTTTCGGCCTTCGTATTTCGGGAGAGGGTTGGAGGCCGGGTTTGCTGTTAGCGCCAGTTTACGCTCCAGTATCCAGCAGGACGCCTCTGGAACAACGGGACAAGTTCCGGGATCGGGTGAGTGCTGTTATTGATGCGGCCACTTATAATTGCCGCTTAATTTTGGGAGGGGACTTTAACGGAGAGGTTGGTGCAACAAAGGATACCGGAGGCATGTGATGGGTCCCTATGGTGATTCTAGGCGTACCTTGGGTGTCCTGCGTTTTTGTGAACAAGAAGGTCTCGTCGTGGCAGATACTTATACCAATCAGCGTCATAAGGCCACCTGGTATCACTTCAAGCATGGCTCGGCGCACAAACTGGATCATTTTTTGGTTGCCTCTTCCGTTCGTCGTTGGGTAAAGTCTGTCTTCACACTTAAGTTTTCGGCTCGTCAACCGAATGCCTCTCGTAAAGTTCAAGGCCGCCCTCTTCACTTATCTGGTGCTCCCTGGTTAGCTCATACTGACCATGATCCGGTCGAGCTTACTTTTGTCATGGGTCGTGATTGGAAGAGTGAATCTGAGGCGCGGCAAGCGCAGGAGAGTAAACCTGATGTTCTGCGTTTTCTGGGTTGTTCTACAGAAGCGGTGGCGTTGAGACAGGCTTACGCGGAAGCAGTTACGTCTGAACTGAACTCTATTGAGGGCCAATTTTTGAGTTGGGATGTGGTTGCACCGTTGCTCAAGCGTGTTGCTTTTCGCAGTGTGGGATCTACCCCCAGCAGAGATCGTCGTCCTTGGTTTCGTGGCAAGGAAAAGGAGCTCCGCTCTCTAGAGGCACAGGTACACAAGGCTGAGCTGCGTTGGAGAACGGCTAGGAGTCGTAACATGCCAGATGCAGGGGTTCTGCTTCAACGCCGCAGGGCTGTATCAGCTGCGTTAAGGGCGGCTAAAAGAAGGTGGGAAGCTTGCTGGTGGGATGATTTGGCCAGTAAGGCTAATGATGCAGATGCTTCAGGTGACTCCTTTTGGCAAATCTGTCGCCAACTTGGTTTTAGGGAGTCTTTGGGAAGGCATACTGGTTGCAAAGCAACGGTGGCGGATGTCTCGAGTGAACGAGAAGCTTGGAAACAGTTTCTCTCGAACATTTAGGCAGGGGAAGGTAAAGTGGCTGAGTCCGTTTGGCAGTTTGTCCCAATGGCTGAGGTAGTAGCTCGGGAATTGCAAGGACCTCCTTCTTGGTCGGAATTTGACTCCGCACTTAGGGCTATGAAATTTGGTAGGCGTGGTGGTATGGATGACGTTTGTGTGGAACTGGTCCGTTTTGGAGGTGCTACCTTACACGTTACGGTCTTTAACATAGTGTTGGATATGTGGTTGTCCGCGGGAGAGGCGGCTGCCGGAAATGAAGCGGCAGACTGGTCAGAACAGGTCACCACAGGAATTTGTATCCCGATGTTTAAAAACAAAGGTGACCGCGGTGATAAAGCCAATTATAGAAATTTGGTTATGCTGTCTGTGGCGGCTAAGTTCGTTGCCAAGATAGCCGCCACTCGGCTTAGCCGATGGGCATCTAATTTTCTTTCTGAGGAACAAAATGGCTTTAGACCGGGCCGGGGTATTGATGACATACATCAACTCACCCGTCGCGTGCTGGAAGAAATGTCGGTGGCTGCGTCTGAGGGGAGCCATGTAGCCAGAATCGGTCTCACACGCTTCGACATCGTGCGAGCGTACACACGTGTTTGCCGTATAGCCTTGTGGGAAGTCTTGCTGAGAATGGGAGTGCCAGAGGATTTCCTGGCAGTATTGAAAGCGTTACATGACCACACCCGTTTCATGGTTTTTGCCCATAATGGTTACTCTGATGCTTGGTTCACGGAGCGCGGCCTTCGGGAAGGCTGCCCCTCTTCCCCCATCCTCTTCAGTATCTTTCACCATTGCGTACTCCTCACTTTTCGTGCTAGGCGTCTTGTCCGGGCACGTGAATTGGGCTGTGCCCCAGGGTTGGCTTGGGCTTATAAGGTTGATGGTCGCATCGCTCGGCCTGGGAAAGCCAAGCGCTCCTCCCGGGGCGTTGTCCAGGTGGTTTTGGGTGAGTATGCGGATGACACGGCGCTCCTTGGACATCTAAATGAACTGAAATTTGCTGAACATATTTTTACACAAACGCTCGCTGACTGGGAGCAGAGTGAACACGTAGGCAAGAGGGAAAAATTGGTAGTGGCGGCTGGGGGCAGGGCTGGGATGGAGGTTCTTCATCAATATGAACGGCGGTTGCTCAAACATTTGGGCGCCACCTTGTCGGACAATGCCGCTCAATGGGCTGAAACAAACCGTCGGGTACAGGCAGGTTTTTTCGCTGTTAAACGGGTGGCAAAGTTGTGGTCATTAGGCACACACCGCGGTCGTGGGTCCGGCAGGGGCCTCTCCATCACAAGAAAGTTGAAAATTGTGCGAGCGGTCCTGGAAGGTACTCTTCTGGCATGTGGGAAGTCAAGGGTTTGGAACTTGGCCCAGGAGAGAAAAGCCAATCAAGTTCTCTCTAGGGGTGTCCGCCGATGTCTTGGCCTAGATATATTTAATATGAGTGAACGTCGCTATAACGATGAGGCATTAAGAAAAATGGTCTGCTGGGATTCCTTCTCCAATCTGATCCATAGGCAGGTCCTCAAATGGGTCGGTCATGTGGCTCGTATGCCGGCGTCAAGGGCGCCAAAGGTTGCTTTGTTCGGATGGCCCTTGGGCCTGGAAGCTCACCGCTCCGCCAGGTATACATTCCCGCAGTGGGTGGCTTGGTTGTTTCAAAAATATGGCATTTCCGAGCTAGACTGGTTCCGATTGGCGCAAAAGCCTACAGGTAACTGGCTAAAAATTATAGACCAAGTCCTTCCACGTGCGCGGCCCGCCCGTTCGTACCAGGCGCGGCTCAACTCTTGGAAGGTCGGGGATGCAGCCATTCTCCCACCAACTTTGGCGAGTGAAGAGCGCAGCTCAGTTGCTGCTCCTACTCTCCCCTTACAATGCCCGGCGTGCAGCCA